CCGGTGAGCGTGGAAGTATGGTCTGCCGCAAGCGGGCAGCAGGAGCGGGGCTGTCAGCATCAGCTCGTAGATGGTATTTTAAACTCAATGCGCTCTGAAACTATGGGGCGGCCGAGGACAACAAATACACATGCGTTAATCGCGTTAAAATAATTAGTGGCGTTAATTTTTTTTTGCGTTAACGCGTTATTAACTTGACAGCCCAAATGTTGACAGCCCAAATTTTGACCTAAATCAAAATATAATTTTTTGTCTGATGCTTCGATTAATTTTAAACAGACAGTTCAACAGAAGGATACCCAAAAAATGTAATTTTATCATTTAAATATTGAATTGTTCTCTCTTAGTAAGATCCCATTTTCAATAAAATTGCGGTCTTACCTTGACTTGAAGATGAAGTCCATTTGCCTATCCTTCTGGACAAAAATCTCTATTACTTTTTTGTAAAAGTCCTCCTTATCTTCTTGTAGTTTCAAAAGGCTATCATAAATCTAAATGATGGATTTATGATTCGAAAATTATAAAAGTAGGGTAGACATGTGGATATTATCCGGCTGAACAAAACGTACATTAATCTAACAGCTACGTTTCCCACAGATCTTATTTTGAGCTATTTTCTCAAATCCTATGGAGAAATCTCATTGCTTTTTTGTCCAGGGAAGCCATGCGCAGCTTACTTCCTGGTTTTAGGACGCGTCTCTCTCCTCCTCTTCACACACCACACTTTTCGCAGCACACGTACTTACAGCAAATCAGCTCTGAATTATGTGAGATGACGTATGGTGGGGATGGCAGCTCAGTGCCCCTATGGTCATTATTTGTTTGCCACACACATTAAATCGGAAAATACTCATGTGCAGTGTAGTTTTTACAGTCACCATTCAGTTAGACCAGGGGTGCCCAACCAGTCGATCGCGGGGAGATTCCCAGTCGATCGCGAGATGTGTCTAAAAATAGAACAACAATATTCTGTTTTATCGTTAATGTCCTATAACATAATCTTCCTGTGCCAGAATAATGCACTTGAACGCATCAAAGCTTTGTGATTGTCCGGCGTGACCCCATGTGTCGGGGCGTGGCTGGTGATCAGTGGGCACTATTTCGCTGACGTTGTCCGTGTCAACAGGAGTGACAGTCCGCACACACACAAGACCGAAATTATGGCAGAAGCAAAAAAGCCCAAAATATATAATTTTCACTCCGAGTGGGAGGATGATTATTTTTGTATCTATTCCAATTCAAAGTCCATCTGTCTCATCTGCAATGTGAGTGTGGCTTTATTGAAGAAGGGTAATTTAGGAGCGGCATTTCAAAACAGTGCACAAACGCTACGAGACGGAATTCCCTCCTAATTCTGCCCTACGCTCCCAAAAGGGGAGGGGCCTGAAAGGACAGCTAAATGCACAGCAGTCCATTTTCACCAGGCCCAACAACAAGAGAAAGGCTGCTACCAGAGCATCTTATCGTGTCAGTCACGTTCTTGCGAAACACATGAAGTCTTTCAAAGACGGCAAAGTTGTGAAATAAGCATTCCTGGAGGCTGCCGACGCGCTTTTTGGGGGACAGTAAAAATAACAGTAGTATTTCAACAGGTTTTTGATATAATAAAAACTGAAGTTAGATACCGTTATTAATCAGCTGTAAGTTTTAGTTTGTTTGAACTTATTCATTATAATTATTGTACAAAATGGTATAAGAATGCAAACTTAAATTGATTATAGTCTATTATCAGTTCAGGTTAAGAAACTAGTGTTGCTTGCATCCTATTTTGAAGGCATTTCTTTTTATACTCGACTAAAATGCAACAACAAAAGGGTTTGATTCTATTAATTTCGTCTTTTTTATTGCACTTTGGCAGCAGATTCCTGAGTAGCTTCAGATCTGAGTTGTCTTATTAGTAAGCCTCATTTATACTTTTGTAGCAACACTATTTTTATATAATGGCAAAGAAAGGGTTCAGAGTCTTTTCTTTTTTCCCTGTGTCATATGTGGCAGCACTGTTCAATGTTTCTTGAAAACATTACCCACTGTAGTGTGACGTGTGAATAAACTACAACTCTGTATCAACAACTTAAATACTTGTATGTGTGTAGATTAGAAAGAGGTAAGATAAAGGATCTGGAGTATTTTATGGAGTATTAATCGTACAAAGGTCAGTTTTATACAAGTAGAAGTGTGTATTTACCTGGTAGTAGGCTGTCAGTAATGGCTACGCCTCTCTATTTGGACTGGTAGATCTCGGCAGACTGGCAACTTTAAAAGTAGCTCTCGGTTCAAAAAAGGTTGGGCACCCCTGAGTTAGACAATGAGAGGGAGGGGCTTGATCGGGTTTTGTCCCACATGGCTCTAAACAAACAGCTCAATAGGCACACACTGTAGACACTAATTAGAAGAACACAGACTAAAACAGCAATGTACAGACGAATCAGATGATTAAACATGATCTTAAAATATATTTTAATATATTTTTTTTGCATTTTTTTGTAATCATTATTTTGAATACTTTCTGCTGACACTAGGTGGGGGTGCACCTGCCCCTAATGACCAGTCGCCACTGGGCCTTGGAATATTCAGCCCGACCTTGCCCTCAAGTGCTACCCCCAACCGGAAAGGAGACGCCGCAGGCGGTGTGAGAGGAAGCAGAAGAGGGTTAAGCGCGGGGGCATCTGGGCTAGGCTAGCGGCTAGGGACGGGTGGCGCAGTGGTCTGTGAATCTGATCATCAGATCAAGGGGGGTGCTGGGGAACTCCAGTTCGAAACCAGCTCCTGCCGCCACTGCGTCAGGCCGTTGTGTCCTTGGGCAAGACACTTCACCCGGATTTGCTCCTGTGGGTATTGTCCACAGTACATGTATAATACCAATGTGTACCTGTAAAAGCGCCTCGATGACTTCGAGGCGTGAAGATGGACGGTGTGGCGCAGTGCGCTGTGCAATGATCATCAGATCAAGGGGTGAAACCCGCCGCTGCTGCGTCTGTAAAGCCGTTGTGTCCTTGGACAAGACACTTCACCTGAACTTGCTCCTGTGGGTATTGTCCACAGTGACCATTGCATGTATAAAGAATATGTGTAATGTGTATTTGTAAAGCGATTTGAGCATCTGGAAAAGCGCTATAATAAATGTAAGGAATTATTATTATTATTATTATCACACAGGCCGTCTATCCCGAGCATGCTGATGGCTAATGTACGCTCACTTCACTTGACAATAAAATGAACAATACAAGACTTCTCCAGTCGACCCAGTGTGAGGTGAGGGAATGCTATGTTTATGTATTTTCGGAAACATGGCTAAATGACAACATCCCGGACTCTGCCATTCAGCTCGACAGGCTATCAAGCTACCACTCGGACAGAGCTATGGTTAACGGTGGGAAGACTCGCAGCGGCGGCGTGATTGTTTACATCAGTGAGGCTTGGTGTAGGGACGTTGTGGTTGTCTGCAAACACTGTTCACCCCTGGCGGAGTTTATGATCATGAAGTGCCTTCCAAGGGAAGGGAGGTGTGTGGCAGAGTGGACTAGTGTGTTGGTGCTCGGATCAGGGGAGCACAGGTTCAAACCCCACTGCAGTCAGCATGTCGTTGTGTCCCTGAGACACTTCACCCCAAATTGCTCCTGTGGGGATTGCCCACAGTATTGAGTATGTAAGTCGCTTTGGATAAAAGCGTCTAACAAGTAACATGTAATGTAATGTAATAAAAAAATAAACGCCACTATCTTTTTGCTGTTGTTCTCCAATACCTGACTAAATCTATGTTTCTGCCTCTTAATTTAAAGGTCCCATGTCATGCTTTTCCGGTTATTACCCGTCCCCTTGTGTGTTATGAAGGTTGTTATGCATGTAAACGGTGTGCAGAGTCAAAACCCTCAAAGTACACCCTGTAGCGAGTAAAACTCTAACACAGAAAATACCTCTCCAAAACGCCTCGTTGAAGATACGTCATTGTCCATTGTTTACTTCCTGGGTATTATGATGTAGGAATGGCCAGTAGCCGCGCCCAGAGCTATGACGCGATACGGTCATGCGTTACCCGGAACCAAATGGACCAATCCGTGGAACCGTTACGTTAAGCCCCCGCTGACCAATCCACAGACTTCCTCACACACACACACAGTGCAGGCAGCTCTGCTGATTTCTCCTCCCTGGCTGCAGGCTGATAACAGACAGTTGGGATCGCGGCGAAATTCTCTCTGCAGACCCATTCTCACAGCGTTTATCAACCTTTTTCTTACTCAATATCAAGCCACACTTATTGTTTTTACTTCGGCTGTGACTTTGTGTGTGCTCAGGATGAGTTTGGCTGTGTTTCGCTGTGTATCGCTAAACAAGGAAAGAACACCTCCACAGAGCTTAGCGCGATTCACAAAGTCCCGACCAATCAGAGCACACTGTGCTCACAGGGAGGGTGGGGGCTGGAGCTATTGGAGCTACAACGAGCCGTTAAAGGCAGAGAGTGAAATTCAGTGAATACACGTAGTTTACAGAGATGCTGTTTGAGAAACCAATGTGAGTTTGGAAAATTGCGCTAGAAGACCTCAACAATGGAATTATGATCAGTGGAATGGCCATGACATGGGACCTTTAAAACGTTGTTTCTGTGAAGCTCTGTTATTGCTTGTCACATCTTTGGTAAAAAGAGAGCTACAGTCATGAGAGCAGAGCCACAGTTAGCTCAGCGACCAGCTAATCTGCATGTGAGAAATGCCTCTGATGAGTGTGAGCACATTCATACATCTTCACACACTACTGTACCAAACAGAAACACTGCACTCCAAACAAGCTCTGGTGATTTATATAAGATATGTGTACATGTTATAAAGTCAAATACATCAGATGATTTTCAAGACTTGCAGACATCTAAAGTGCTGATTGAAGTTGTAATTATCATCAAGCTAGTAACACATTAAACACAACAAGACAGCTACTCAACAAAAATCATATAAACAAAAAATCATAGAAGTAGATATTCAAGATTCATAACAGAATGAAGCACACACCTTTGTAGTAAAAGAGACATCTGTCGGTGAGGACGAACCACCTCTTGTTCCACTGCTTCACCCCACTGCTGGCCTGCAGGAACAAGATTCAAGATTTCAAGATTCAGCGCTTTATTGTCCTGTGCACAGTAGCTACAGTAAATATGGCAATGACAACTCAAGTCACAGGCTCCTCCAACAGTGCAACATGAATATGTATAGGACAAATTAAACTAATACAAATTGTGAAAGAAATAACAATAGAAATAAAATAATGCAAGAGAATGTTTTGAGATGTGCAAATAAATACAAATAAAATAGAAGTAGTGCAAGAAGGGTCTATATACCATTAAATGGAATATGATATATACACATTGAAAGATGCAAACAGATGCATGTTTATGGATGTTCTTTACAGAGTCTAGGTGTTTAATAGTCTTATGGCCTGTAGGATGAAACTGACAGCAGCAGACTGAACAGTTTGTGGCTGGGGTGATGGGGGTCTTTGAGAATCCTGAGGGCTTTCTTCCTGAGCCGCTGGGAGTGAAGGTCCTCCATGGATGGCAGCTCCGTCCTGGTGATGTTCTCTGCAGTTTTCACCGCCCTCTGTAAAGCCTTACGATTGAGGGCGGTGCAGCTGCCGTACCAGGCCGTGATGCAGCCAGTCAGGATCTCTCTATGGTGCACCTGTAGAAGGTCAGGATACTCTCTATGGAGCACCTGTAGAAGGTCAGGATCCTCTCTATGGTGCACCTGTAGAAGGTCAGGATCCTCTCTATGGAGCACCTGTAGAAGGTCAGGACCCTCTCTATGGTGCACCTGTAGAAGGCCAGGATCCTCTCTATGGTGCACTTGTAGAAGGTCAGGATCCTCTCTATGGAGCACCTGTAGAAGGTCAGGATCCTCTCTATGGTGCACCTGTAGAAGGTCAGGATCCTCTCTATGGAGCACCTGTAGAAGGTCAGGATCCTCTCTATGGTGCACATGTAGAAGGTCAGGATCCTCTCTATGGTGCTCCTGTAGAAGGTCAGGATCCTCTCTATGGTGCACTAGAAGGTCAGGATCCTCTCTATGGTGCACCTGTAAAAGGTCAGGATCCTCTCTATGGTGCACCTGTAGAAGGTCAGGATGCTCTCTATCGTGCACCTGTAGAAGGTCAGGATCCTCTCTATGGTGCACCTGTAGAAGGTCAGGATCCTCTCTATGGAGCACCTGTAGAAGGTCAGGATCCTCTCTATGGTGCCTCCTGTAGAAGGTCAGGATCCTCTCTATGGTGCTCCTGTAGAAAGGTCAGGATCCTCTCTATGGGTAGGCTCCTGTATGAAGGTCAGGATCCTCTCTATGGTCTCCTGTAGAAGGTCAGGATGCTCTCTATGGTGCAACCTGTAGAAGGTCAGGATGCTCTCTATGGTGCACCTGTAGAAGGTCAGGATCCTCTCTATGGAGCACCTGTAGAAGGTCAGGATCCTCTCTATGGTGCTCCTGTAGAAGGTCAGGATCCTCTCTATGGTGCTCCTGTAGAAGGTCAGGATCCTCTCTATGGTGCACCTGTAGAAGGTCAGGATCCTCTCTGTGGTGCACCTGTAGAAGGTCAGGATCCTCTCTATGGTGCTCCTGTAGAAGGTCAGGATCCTCTCTATGGTGCTCCTGTAGAAGGTCAGGATCCTCTCTATGGTGCACCTGTAGAAGGTCAGAATCCTCTCTATGGTGCTCCTGTAGAAGGTCAGGATCCTCTCTATGGTGCACCTGTAGAAGGTCAGGATCCTCTCTATGGTGCACCTGTAGAAGGTCAGGATCCTCTCTATGGTGCTCCTGTAGAAGGTCAGGATCCTCTCTATGGTGCACCTGTAGAAGGTCAGGATCCTCTCTATGGTGCTCCTGTAGAAGGTCAGGATCCTCTCTATGGTGCTCCTGTAGAAGGTCAGGATGCTCTGTAAACTGAACTGTACACAACCTGAGAACACGGCCAGGGATGCCATCAGGTCCAGGAGCCTTGTGTGGGTTAACCCTTTTAAAGGATTTGCACACATCTGCCCTGTTTAAAACAAAAGGGCAGGGCTCCTGGTCCTTCTGTGCCTCCACAGCCTGCCTGCTCTCAAAATGAGCATAGCAGCTGTTTAGCTCATCTGGGAGAGACACACTCACAGACAGTCCCCCAGAACCACCGGCTGCTCCTTTGTAATCAGTCATTGTTCTTAGTCCTGCCCACATGTTCCGGGTGTCAGAGCCTTTGAAGTCAGACTCCACACTGTCACTGTATTGTCTCTTTGCCCTGCTGATAGCTCTCCGGAGTGCGTACCTTGACTTCCTGTACTCTTCCAAATCTCCACCTATATTGAACAAACTGAATCCTTCTAAGGTTTTGACATTGTGCGGCTCTTTCATGCCCAGGGTGCAATTAAAGGGTACGCGGTTTATTTCTTTGCTTTATTCGCTCAAAAAGGTATAGTTCAGAAACTGTAATCCATCTGGTGTATCTGTTCATGGTGCGTGACGTTACTAACAACCTGTCACACAGGAGAAGACTTCCTCAGTGTCATGACTTTGCAGGGTAACAGTGTTTCTTCAGACTTCTATCATGCAACATGCAATGTCCTCAATGATTACAAGATTGTGCTTCAAATCATAGTCTCCAAAAATAGTCCATAAAAACTTTTTTTCAACACAAGTTTAGTTCTTCATAAGAGGAGAGGAAAAAGGCTTCACCTGTTTGTACAGCCATCCCTGTTTGCTGACCTCTGCTTTGGGATTTCTGCGCATGGAGTTTGAGCGCTTCCCAAATGTAGCTGCCGTTCGAAGAGAACTCCTGGGAGTACGAGACGCCTGCAATTACCCAGATATAAAATAGAGGTTTAGTATAAAGGTTATGGAAATATACACGTTGATAGTGGGGTATAGAGGATTACAATTATAGGAGTATTTTTTCGAATTATATTACATGAAGACCATAAAGTGATCTTCCACTTATAGGTTGCACAATGGGCATAAACACATATAAATGTAGCAGATACCGGCTCATCATTAACTGCAAAGCTAGGATTTGATTTGAGGAGTTAAAACATTTTAAAACAATGTTATGAATAATGATAAATTGTTTAATTATTTTCTCAACCTTTTTATGAGGGAAGTCAGGTCTAACAGGATGTGAGAACTTGTTTACTTAGCAAAGACCCGTTAAGCAACAATGGCGAGTTTGATCACTCTACTTCCTCAGGCAGATGAAACCAAAGACTGCTTGCTCCCCCACACACATGTATATATGTTTACCATGAAAGCATGCTGCAGTAGTGCTGATATCCCAAAACCTTTTCTCATTGTTTAAATGAAGTATTTCCTGGAACACTCCATCTGCCATGGATGGGTGAGTCTTTGTGGTGTGCTCACCCTGGTGTAAGGCTGGCCTTCTGGGGACAGGTTTGACACCATATTGGCCCTTTTGGAGGCAGTGATCTTCTCAGCAGTAGGATTCACTTTCCCATTCATTTCCAAATCACAGTGCCTGGACAGAAGAGCAAAGACATGAGCTCCTAATAGTGCAACAGTGCATGCTGTGCACTTCTACCACTTATTGTCTAGTAGCCTGCCAAGAGCAGTGTGTGATGGCAGAGAAATTACTTGCAAAATTACAATTGGTACAACTCAGATCTGACCTTGTTTAATGAGGTCTAATGTGTAGCACCCTGCAGACTTGTCTCAATGTTTGTGTTTGCCTGAGAAGGACCTCTGGTGGTTGTGTGTATAAAGACTCTTGGCTGCCACACACACATATGGAAAGACTGTGTTGTTACAATGTGAGACTTGAACACTAGAGGCAGCTGTTCTATGCCTAGTATAGTTTGTTCATTATTACCAGGACAAACACACACTCTTTGTATACCCAGTATAGCTCTTACTTTAGCCCAATGAAACCAACAAGCATGTTGAAAAATCCTACGTTTCTGTCTAACTTAGTTATTGTTGATAAACTCTGATTGGACAATCTCTGATTTGTTAAATGTATGTACAGTATGTTGACATATACTATATATTAACTAACATTACTGTGGTTCCACATATTTTCTTTGTTTTATTTTCTCTTTGGGAAAGGTGAAATTAGTTAACACCATAATGTTATTGACACCAAATACATTTTATAAGGGATTCAATGACAATACATGACATATAGTAACTAATTAAACCAGCAAAATACACCCATATGCAGGCCAGGGTAGGAGAGTGAAATATCAAACTAAAACAGTGACCTGCTGGTGCCAGTTTACAGCTGTCATGTTCATGTGGGTCAAACATGTGTTAGTAATGGATGATTGGTCATATCGATCTACTGACAAGTATTAATGCATATCATTTCCATTCTCTCTTTGCTCACCTCCTATAATTTCCTTATACATGCAGTAACATCAGCAGCACCCAGAGGCGTGTGCACGTAACCTGCTGTGCACCAGCCAAGTGTTGTTTTTCTAAAACTGATCACCTACTTTCTTTCCGTTTGTGCTAACAAACAACACAATTATTTCGATAACACAGTGCATGTTTGTGGGGTAATAACTACATAATTTGTAGAATTGTGTGTATGCATGTAGGTGTACAGGATAGGAGCTGAACATATTATTGCTGTTTAGTTCAGTTCAAAGGTCACTTACTGCAGATAGGAGTGTAAGGTGGGCTCTTCCAGCTGGAGGGGGCTCAGTGCTGCTCCAGCTGGTCCACTGGGGTCATGTTGACTGCAAACACACAGAGGAAGGACACAGAGGGGACATATGGCGATTACTTTTCTTAATGTGTCCATATTACAAACACAGGTGAAGATAACTACAGTTTACCCAAACCATGGTCTTAAGTTCACCATTCCTTCTATCAGTTGCAGTAGGAATAATGTTTGGCGCCTCAGATGACAGCAATTTACTTTAAACATTCAATGGTCGTACTACATAAAGTATGTATAATGCAAAGACATGGGCATCCTAAATCCTCCTCCTCCTCCTCCTCCTCCTCCTCCTCCTCCTCCTCCTCCTCCTCCTCCTCCTCTCCTCCTCCTCCTCCTCCTCCTCCTCCTCCTCCTCCTCCTCCTCCTCCGCGCTATTGTACCTAGCAGCGCACCAACAGGTACTGTTATTTGGCCAGCAACCGCATTACGCATCTGCAATGTGGTGTCGCACTGTATTATGTAAATACATTTGCTGCTGTGGTCAGCGGTTGCAAGTTTGAGGCTAAAGCATCACCTGACCCCACAGAAACTGGCTGGAGCGCGGGCACAAAATAAGCGCACGCACTACATTAGTGCCCGCGCTCCAGCCAGTTTATGTGGGGTTACGTGAAGCAGAGCTCGTCCCTGCCTCACTTCTCATCGCTCCCATGTAGTTGTAGCGGAGCTCTGCACATTTTGACGATAAAAAGCGATTGGAATCATACAGAAATCACATTTACAACACAGATCAGTGCAGACATTTGATTATTATTTCTTTTTTTTCTTTAGTTTTTTTCCCGTTACATTGGAGTATGACAAGTGAGGCTCTGCCTCTCCTGCCTCCCCTGACTGCACGTCGCTGCATTAGAGTGAAATCGACACCTGAAATCAAATGTTTTTGTTTTTTTATTAAGTTTTCCTATAATTACATTATGTCCTGCCCCTACACAGCCTGCCAACACTGGCTGAACAGAAAGCGAAACACCCTTTCTAAGCAATGTCCCTCACTCCTCACATCCCAAGCTGCATCCCAAAAAAGTGTATTATGTTATTACATCGTTTCAGATGTGATGTTTCAGTTGTGCTCTTGATAAGCCATTAAAACAGTAAAAACACGTTCAGTTTCCTTCTGCTTTTTATGTCTCCTGTTCACCAAAACATACCATCTGTGATGGAAAAATAAAGTATTCCAAAAGTAATCTGAATACGTTTTTAAGACACGTAACTGTATTCGGATTCGGATTACTTTCAGAGCGATGTATTCAGTATTCAGCCACTAATTACATTTACAAAGTAACCCTCCCAACCCTGTCTATATTGTGCCCCAGCACATGGCGGTTTTGAGGGCCCTCCCATTTAAATTACATTACATTGCATTTAGCTGACGCTTTTATCCAAAGCGACTTACAATAAGTGCGTTCGACCAACAAGATACAACCTTGAAGAAAACAGAATCATATAAGTACATCAGGTTTCATAGAGCAAAACATTTCAAGTGCTACTCAACTGGCTTTAGATAAGCCAGTCCTTTATTAGCATAAAAGTGCTTTGTTAATAGTTCTATCGCTTGAAGTGGAGTCGAAAGAGATGAGTTTTCAGTCTCCCCCGGAAGATGTGTAAGCTTTCTGCTGTCCTGATGTCAATGGGGAGCTCATTCCACCATTTTGAAGCCAGGATAGCAAACCCACGTGTTTTTGCTGATGGGAACTTGGGTCCCCCTCGCAGCGAGGGTGCAGCGTGCTGTTTGGCTGATGCAGAGCCGTCTGTAGATTTGTTCTGGTGACGGACCTGGAGCTGTTGATGTCTGAAGTCCCTGTTGGTTTTTGGGAACCTGCTTTTTGTTTTTAATTGGTGGCAATATGCTTTCTAACACACAGTCATAACAATAACATCACTGAAACATAACCACAACAGTGTAAACAGGCAGTGTGTGAAATTATGTTCATACAGTTTACATTTTCTTACTGTATATGTTTGGTATGAGATGCATTGCCTGTCAGCTTTAGTATTTGCTCCTTTTTTTACGGTGTCTAGACCAAGGGGGGTAGAAATGTTGGTGTACAAAGAGTCCACGTCTATGGAAAAAATAAAGGTGTGCGAGGGAACAGAAAGGGGTTTACATTTTTTAACAAAGGTGAAGGTATCTTTAATGTAGTTGGGGTGGTTATGGGAAAGGGGGTTGATATAGTGATCGATGAATTCCGCTAGTTGGTAGGATTTGGAGCCACAATCGCTAACGATGGGTCTTCCTGGAGGTACTAAATAGGGGACCGACCAACTAGCGGAGGGTTTATGAATTTTTGAAAGGAGGTAAAAAAGTCTGGGACAGAGGAGGTAAAGTGCTTGTTTAGGTGTTATAAGGCGTTTGGTTTTCTTCTGATTAACTAAGGTTTTAATAATGCTGCGTATTTCAAAATAAAGGGGTTGAGCTAGTGGTTGGTAGTAGATGGGGTTGTTTAATTGACGGGTTGCTTCGAGGATATAGTTGGTTCTGTCCTGGATCACTATCTGTCCGCCCTTATCTGCAGGTTTGATAATAATTTCATATTTGGCAGATAAGGACTTCAAGGCTAGTTGCTGGTCGGATGTAATGTCGGATTGATTCCTTTGGCGGCGGGGTCTGAGGTCTGACCTTCTTTGATGCGAGAAATATGAGTTGTTATTTCAGATTATGTGTGCAGTGGATGTACATGATCTTTAGTTTGATAGTTATTATGAAGATTACTTCAGTCCATAGAACGTTTTCATTGTTACCAAGGTGGTTGCTAGGGACGCTGCTATCGATATTATTTCTGTTATGTTGTGTAACTGTTTAATGGTGTTATCTTTATTGCTACCCCCTTCCCCGTCAATGTATAGTGTTGGTCCACAGCGCAAACGTATTAGTTTGCGTATTTTTAGTAACAAAATCCGCATCTAAAGATACGTTATTTCCCCCTGTGCAATTCCAGTCTCACATCTCACAGCACATCGTTATTAACAAATACCGGAAACAGACCGAAAACATTTAAAAAAAATAAAATAATACTTTATTCCGAGTGTGCTTGCTTTTCTCTTTGAAAGTCATCACATAACGGCGTTGTAATACACGGTTCGGCTGCATTAAATATTACATATCTGCCGTAGTTCTGTATATATATAGAAATTTGTATTCATTGGGATAAACCCCTTGAGATGCACCATCTTGTTTTCAAGGGGGTCCCGACAATAGCAACAACTTACAGACATACATAAACAAAAAGACAAAATGCAGAACATGACACACAAGACAAACCACATACAGTCTGTTAAGTAAAATTCAAGCAATGCATACAATCTTTACAATTTGAGACAGTCAAGCAAATCAGTTTCATCAATATCAGTTTCATTAATAACAAGTACAGACCAGTTGAAAGTGAGATGATAATGCATGTTTAAATAAACCCAATGATGCAAGAGATCTAATGGCAGCAGGTAAAGTATTCCAGTCAGTTGGGGCTTTGAACATGAACGCTCTTCTGCCAATCAATTTTTTTGCAGAGGGGACAGAGAAATAAATCTGAACAGAATGTCTAACATGATGATATGGTGAGTAGGGTACAAAATACTGCTTTAAATAAGGGGGATAGTTAAGATAAATGCATTTAAATATCAGCTGAAGCCAATGCGTGTGTCTTCTTACATTTAAAGAAGGCCATTTAAGTTGGTTATACATTGTGCAGTGATGTGTACGAAAAGGACAACCAAGAACAAATCTGCATAGTCTATTGTAGGCTATGTTGAGTGGAGCAAGATCTGATTTATGTGCATTTTGGTAGACATCACAATAGTCCATAATCGGAAGAATAAGTTGAGAAGCAATTCTCTTTCAGACACTGAGCGTAAAACAATTGCGAGAGCGGTGTAAAACACAGATTCCGTAATTGACTTTTTGTATTACATGCTTTATATGTAGTTTAAATGAAAGTTCAGAGTCTAGCCATACACCAAGATATTTAAAGCTATCAACTTTATGCAGAGAAGTGCCATCCTTACATGTTATTACTACATTAGGTCTGGATTTGAGCTTCTGCCTGGTACCAAAGACCATGGTATAAGATTTTGATTTGTTAAGCAGTAGTTTATTGTGTGATAGCCAGTCCTGTAAGATATTAAAATCCGATTGAAGAGAGATCTGAATTTGTGAAAAATCTGATTTGGTTGTATATATAACAGTGTCATCAGCATAACGGTGAGTACAACAATTAATGAGACAAGAAGATAAATCATTTATGTAAATAGAGAACAGAAGTGGGCCCAGAGTTGATCCTTGGGGTACACCCTTTTGTTGGATCAACAGGTCAGACTGTTTTCCATTAACAACCACACATTGCTTTCTACTGTGAAGGTACGAGTTAAACCATAACACTGTATTATTAGAAAGGCCAATGCCGTGAAGTTTATCCAAGAGCAGATATCGATCAACGAAATCAAAGGCTTTTGTCAAGTCAATAAAAATGGCACCTGTGAGTTCACCATCATCTGCAGCAGAGTACAAGTCATTCGTAAATGTAAGTAGGGCAGTTGTTGTGGAGTGAATAGGCCTGAAACCAGATTGAACCGGAGATAAAATATTATAAGTATTGAGATAATGTGACAGTTGATTATAAATTATTTTCTCCAAAACTTTGGAAATAGAGCAGATTATAGAGATTGGTCTATAATTATTTGTATCAAGTAAATCACCACCTTTATGCAGTGGAATGATGCGTGCACATTTCCAAATAGTCGGCAACTCACAGGTGGACAAAGACAGGTTGAACAAATCAGCAAGTGGGTACATGAGAATATGGGACGCCAGTTTTATTAACCTGTTTTCTATACCATCGAGTCCTGCACTGCCATCCACTTTTAATTCTGTGATAGCATTATGAACTTCGTGTGGTAGAATGTTCTTAAAAGAAAAAGAACTGTTGCAGTATGAGTTACTATTAGAAATACCAGTCGTCAAATAGGAGTCAGATAGTAGTGTGGAACATACATTAGCGAAATGCTGATTAAATATTTGGGCAATGGATA